TCTCTCGTCTCTCGTCTCTCTCTCTCTCTCGTCTCTCGTCTCTCGTCTCTCGTCTCTCGTCTCTCGTCTCTCGTCTCTCGTCTCTCTCTTGACCATCGTGTCTGTCGTCGTTGCAGGAACGCCCGTTAACCGAATTCCGATCATGGCGAAGCAGACACTGGACCTGTACGAGCTCTACAAGCTGGTCGTCTCTAAGGGAGGCCTCGTCGAGGTCATCAACAAGAAGATCTGGAGAGAGATCACGAAGGGCCTCAACCTGCCATCGTCCATAACGAGTGCCGCCTTCACGCTGAGAACACAGTAAGTATCCACGCGCGTGCGCCGGGGGGTGGCGGGGTGGGCGTGGCCGGGTCGGAGAGTGAGTTTAACGGGGGTGGGTCTGGTGGCTGGGTTTGGTGGTTGAGAGAGTGAGTGGATGAGTGAGTGAGTGAGTGAATGAGCGAGCGGGCGGGCGGGCGGGCCGCCGGGTGGGTGGTTGAGTGAGTGAGTAGGTGCGTGAGCGAGTGAGTGAGTGAGTGAGTGAGTGAGTGAGTAGGTGTTCACAGTTGGATGGTAGGTAAGTAGGTAGGTAGAGAAAGAAAGACATGAAGTGAGCGAAGGTTAACAACTGCCTTGGTTAACGGGGAAGGTGTTGAAAAGTGGACTTTGCTATCCAGAGGGCAGCTACGCTTATGTTGCCATGGAAACGATGTTCCAGTTACTAAGAATTTGCTTAAATGTGTTAAACGTTTCCTTCCAAACTCCAAGATGTAGTGTGGTTTTCTCTTTCTTGCCGAAATTTGAACTAAGCCATTTAGCAAACTAGCTGTCTATGGCCATTTTGGTTTTTGTTTGTTTTATTTCTCTACGTTTTACCATTTAGCATGAATTATAGTAACTGCCTGGCAAATTCCGTTGGAATGTCTTTGCTTTTGTTTCTTTGGTTATTATTGCCATGGAGCGTTAGTTTTGCTCAAACATTTTCACAACTTTCGGCAAAAAATGTATGCTTTCTAACTAGTGTGGCTAAAGTATTTCAAACAGTCAATCGTAGCCGTTCGTCTTTTTGTGGCAGAAGCAAACAAAACTGTGGAAGCGTTCTGTAGGTTGACTAGACGTGTCAGGAATGGGGTAAAATATTAGGAAATATTTCCTATTGATGAACGCATATATATATATATATTTACATGTTGTTGTACAATTTATAATGGTCATAGATGGCTCACTTCCAAAAAGTAATTCGATTTAAAAAAAACACTTTCTTTATACAGTTGATACTGCTACAGTCTATTTCGTGAGTTCGGCGTTATGCATGGACGATCAGAATCGGTGGTTGGTAACGGAAGGTATACGCATCTGGCCTATTTGAGAGAAATATTCAAAGGTACAGCAAACATCTCTACCGTAAAATTATCCAGCTATAATTGAAGTGTAGGTGGTAGCACCTACTGCATACCCGTGTATGCTAAGGCCACACAAAGCTGCACTTTCAGTGCGTGGGAGGGGAGTGTGGGTGATATGTTCACATAGACCGTGGGTGGACGTTGGCTGTAACAGACATCAGAAGAATTGCAGTATTGAGAGTGGGATTGTATAGTGTGAGGTTGTACATAGCTAACATCTCGTTAACGTCTTACCACCTCTCAGCGTACATGAAGTAGCTGTGTATTCGGCGTTTGCATAGCTAACATCTCGTTAACATCTCGTGTTCATCCTCAGGTACATGAAGTACCTGTATCGGTTGTACATAGCTAACATCTCGTTAACGTCTTACCACCTCCTCAGGTACATGAAGTACCTGTATCGGTTGTACATAGCTAACATCTCGTTAACATCTCGTCCCCGTCCTCAGGTACATGAAGTACCTGTATCGGTTGTACATAGCTAACATCTCGTTAACATCTCGTCCCCGTCCTCAGGTACAGAAGTACCTGTATCGGTTGTACATAGCTAACATCTCGTTAACTCTCCCCATGCCTCAGGTACATGAAGTACCTCGTATCGTTGTAGCCATACTAACATCTCGTTAACATCAGCTACCTGTATCGGTTGTACATAGCTAACATCTCGTTAACATTTGATACCTTGTATCGGTTGACATAGCTAAAATCTCGTTAACTATGGAAGTACCTGTGTATCGGTAGTGTTAATAGCTAAAATCTTCGGTTAACATTGAAGTACCTGTATCGCGTTGTTTTTTTTTTATACATTAGCTAAACGATCTCGTATAACATCTCGTTATCCCCGTCCTCAGGTACATGAAGTACTTGTACCCGTACGAGTGCATCAAGATGAAGCTGAGCAACCCGGAGGAGCTGCAGGCGGCGATCGACGGCAATCGGCGCGAGGGCCGCCGCTCGAGCTACGGCGCGTACGACATCCCGCTGTCGCCGACGGGCATCTCGCCGTCGATGGTGCCCTCGTCGCGTCACATCAACGGCAACGGCTCGTCATCGCACTCGCACTCGCACTCGCACCACATGTCTTCCATGAAGGCGCTGATGATGCGCGAGGAGAACCTCGGCTCGATGAAGATGGAGAACACTCACTCAGGTAGGTAGGGGGCGCCGGCGTGCGTCGCACGTTCGAGCGGCGCTACGGCGACGCGAATGCTCTTGTGTGTGTGTGTATATATATAAATAAATGATAATAAATGTCGAAAAATAGAACAGGGTGTTAAATTTTATTATATACAGAAATATAATTTATATATATATATATATATAGGGTGTTATATTTATATATATATATATTACTATATATATATTATTTATTTAAAGAAATATGTGAGAATACGGTACTGTAAGAGAAGGTCGTGTCATCATCAGTGAGATCTCATCATCGTCACCTCCTCTAGTCACTTCCCTCATAATAAGGCAGACAAGACAAACATGTAAAACTTACGCCCCCCCCCCTCCCCAAGCAGCACTGCACATCGTCGTCTCGTCGTGAAATTCCCAGCGCCTCCTTCCACTTACCCACCAGAAGGCGCCGCTGGTTCCACCCGCCCATTCAGACGGGCACCACCGGTCTCCACCCGCCATCAGAGGGCGGCGTCGCCGGTTCCACCCGCCCATCAGAGCAGTCGCCGCTGGTTCCACCCGCCCATCAGAGGGCGCCGCTGGTTCCACCCGCCCATCAGAGGGCGCCACTGGTTCCACCTGCCCATCAGAGGGCGCCGCAGGTGCACCGACGCAGCTGCTGATTGCGTGGCCTTGCTTCCAGCAGCAGTGTCGTCGTCGGGCGAGGAGGAGAATCACATGACGCCGAGCATGGTGCATCAGCGCGAGGTGATGCAGGCGTCGATTGGTCTGGAGACGCTGCGCGCGATCGAACACCAGCGCATGGTCGAGCATCAGAAGGTGCTGGAAGCTGCTTCCAGGTAAGCTAGTTAATGAGAAGGTGCCTCCAGTTGAGCTAGTTAATGAGAAGGTGCTGGAGTAGCTGACTTCCGGTAGCTATGTTAATGAGAAATGTGGCCTCCAGTTGAGCTAGTTAATGAGAAGGTGCGGGCTGCTTCAGGGCAGTAGCAGGTTGCTTAGCTCTTCCAAAGGCTAAAGAGACTCCAAGGGCTTGCAGGTAACAGTAGAGAGAAGTGGCTGGTAGTGCTTCAGGAACTGTATTGGATGCGGAAGGTTTATGGAGCTAGTTTAGACAGAAGGTGCTGTAGCTGCTTGCACGGGGTAGCTAGTTAGGAACAGAAGGTGCTATTGTAGGTGGGCCTCGGCGGTGAGCTAGTTAGAATGGCTGTTAGGTGACTGGACTATAGCAGAAGGTTGTGTCAGCTGCCTCTAGGTGAGCTAGTCTACGACAGAACGTGGCTTGTAGCTGCCTCTAGGCTAAGCTAGTTAGACAGAGGTGCTTGTAGCTGCCTGCTAGGTGAGTCTAGTAATGAGAAGGGTGCTGCGTACGCTGCGCTCGGGTAAGCTAGTTAATTAGAAGGTGCTGGTAGCTGCCTCTAGGTGAGGCTAGTTAGACCGAAGGTGCTTGCTAGCTGCTCATAGAGTGACGGCTAGTTGAACAGAAGGTAGCTTGTGCTGCCTCTAGGTGAGGGCTAGTTTAGACAGAAGGTGCTTGCTAGCTGCTGCTAGCTAACTAGTTAGACAAAGAAGATGCTGTAGTGGCCTCCTAGGTGAGCGTAGTTAGACAGAAGCGTGCCCTTGTAGCTGGCTCTAGGATAGACGCTAGTTAGACAGTAAGGTTGCCTTGTAGCTGCCTACCTAGGTTGACGGCTAGTTAGACAGAGGTGCTTGTAGACTGCCTCTAGTGAGCTAGTAGACAGAAGGTGCTTGTAGGCTGCCTCTAGGTAAGCTAGTTAGACAGAAGTGCCCTTGTGGGGTGCTCGGGCAGTGAGCTAAGTTAGACAGAAGTGTGCTTGTAGGCCTGCTCTAGTGCTGAGCTAGTTAGACAGAAGGGTGCTTGTAGCTGCCTCTAGGTGATGCTAGTGAAGACAGAAGGGCTTGTAGGCTGCCTCTAGGTGCAGCTATTAGACAGAAGGTGCTTTCAGGCTGCTCTGGGGTGAGCTAGCTTAGACAGAAGCTGCTTGTAGCTGCCTCTAGGATAGCTAAAGTTAATCAGAAGGGCTTGGTAGCTCTCTAGGTGAGCTAAGTAGACAGAAGGTGGCTCTGTAGCTGCCATCTAGGTGATAGTTAGACAGAAGGTGCTTGCTAAGCTGCCTCTATGGTTGGCCTGCAGTTAGAGCAGAAGTGGCTTTGTAGCTGGCCCTCTATGGTGAGCTATGTTAGACAGAAGGTGCTTGATGCTGCCCTCTAGGTGCGCAGTTAGACAGAAGGTGGCCTTGTAGGTGCCTCGGGTGAGCTAGTTAGACAGAATGGCTGGCTTTGTAGCTGCCTCTAGGTGAGCTAGTTAGACAGAAGGTGCTTGTAGCTGCCTCTAGGTGAGCTAGTTAGACAGAAGGTGCTTGTAGCTGCCTCTAGGTGAGCTAGTTAGACAGAAGGTCTTGTGCTGCGTCTAGGTGACAGCTAGTCTAGACAGAAGGTGCTTGGTAGATGACCTGCTAGGTGAAGCTAGTTATCAGAACGGTGCTTGTTAGCTGCCTCTAGGTGAGCTAGTTAGACAGAAGGTGCCTTGTCAGGTGCCTCGGGGGTGCAGGCTAGTTAGACAGAAGGTGCTGTGGTTGAGCGCTGGCGCTCGTCGCAGCCTATTTATCAGGTGTGTCGAGCTCCTGCCCAGACAGGCTGCTCTGCTCCCTACTTATTGCTGTTGTAGCCAGTCTTTATAGTAACCACACCTGGTGAAGTGATATGTATTCATGTTTTCTATATATTACCACCGCTTCTAGTTAGCTAGTAACACGCAGACTAGGCTATAGGTAAACAGTTGTTTTTCTGCAGGCGTTGTCTTCAGTAGTAAGTTCTAGGGAGAGATGATATGTGAATTATCGAAATAAGTAGAGGATATAGAAATCAGTTAACCCCATAACCCTAACCTTAAATCCTAACCCTATTTCATAATTTTAACAATAAAAAAAATTAGCGCAAAAATAATTAAAAAAAAAATAAATAAGAGACAAAAATTAGCCAATCAGAAGCCGTCCCCTAGCGATACTATCTTCTTCTCCTGTGCAACAATTCGTTCTGAAGTGCCTCAGCAGTGTTTGCTCCATGTCTTGGCGGTCTTACGTATATGCCAGAGCTGGCTGAGGAAGCCAATGGTCTCGTCGCGCCTAGCAGCGAAGAGGCCTGCATGTCACTAGCTTTGGATGGATTGGGGAACAAACAACTGAGGGCTAGCACATCACATTGCCATGGCCTAGCGCACTTCAAGAGCTGACAGCAGAGGTAGCGTACTCGCCAACGCTTCACGCGTGCTATCTCTCTCCTTTCTTTCTCTCTCTCTCTATCTCTCTAATTCTCTCTCTTTTGCTTCTCTCTCTCTCCTCTCTCTCGTTTCTCTCGACTCTCTCTCTATCTCTCTCGTCTCGCTCTCTCTCCTCTCTCTCTTCTCTCTCTCTTCTCTGCTCCTTTTCTCTCTCCTCTCTCTCTTCTCTCCCTCTCTTCTCTTCTCTCCTCTCTCTGCCAGCTCTTCTCTCTCTCTCTCTCTCTACTGCTCTCGGTCATCTCGTCTCTCCTTTCTCTCTTCTTTCCCCTCCCACTCTTCTTCTCTCTCTCTCTCTCTTCCTCTCTCTCTCCTTTCCCGCCCGCTCTACTCCTCTCCTCTCTCCCGCTCTCTCTCCGCTCCCGCCCTCTCTACTCTCTCTGACCACAGAGGTACGTACTCGCAATCGGTTCACGCGTGCCTATCTCCTCTCCTTTCTTTCTCTCTCTCTCCTATCTCTCTATCTCTCTCTTTGCTCATCTGCTCTCCTCTCCTTCGTTTTCTTCTCCCTCGTCTCTTTCTATCTCTCTCTGCCCGCTTCCTCATCTCTCTCTCTCTCATCTTCCTTTCTCTCCTCCTTTCTCTCATCTCTCCTGCTCTCTTTCTCTCCTCTCTTCTCTCTCTCTCTCTCTCTCTGCCAGCTCTCCTCTCATCTCAGTCGTCTGCGTCTCTCTCTCTCTCTCTCTCTCTCCTTTCTCTGCTTTTCTTTTTCGTGCCCTCCTCTCCATCTCTTTTCCTCTCTCTCTCTCTCTCTCTACCTCTCTCTTCCTCTTTTCCCTCTCTCCCTCTCTCTCTCCCCGCCTCATCTCCCCTCGCCCCCTCTTCTCTCTCTTTCCTTCTCCGTCTCTCTCTCTCCGCTCTCTCTCTGCTCTCCGTCCTTCTCCCTCTTCTCTCTCTCTCGTTCCCCTCTCTCACTCTCCCGCTCTCTCTCTCTCCTCTCTCTCTCTCTCCCCCTTCTCTTCTCTCCCTCTCCTCATCTCTCTCTCCTCTCTCCTCTCTTTCCTCCCCTTCCTTCTCCGTCTCGGCTCTCCGACGGTCCGCTCT